GGGCAGCCGCGGACGGGAGCTTGGACCGACTCCGTGACGAGTTGCGTCTGACCCAAGAGGAGGTGGTGACCAACGACTATGTGGGATCCACCCATGGCGGATCCGCCTTAGGGTCGGCGCGTGGAGGGTCCCCCGCGCCAAATCCACCTCCCTCGTCGCCGGATGTAGCTCTGGCTCAACTCTCTGAGGAGTTGCAAGATACCAAGGAGTCGCTCGAAAAAGCGTCTGCTGGGCGAGATTACGCGCTCGAAGAGTTCGTGCGTATGACTCAATTGCGCGACGAGATCCAAGCGAAGCTGGCGGACAGCGAACTCCAACGGGACAAGGCGGCTACCGAGTGGGCGGATGCCAAGCGGGCGCAAACAGAACTGGAATCCAAGCTTCGCCGCACGAGTACGTGGATCCTCTTTTGGCCCTTGCTAGTAACCCCATATTCACTTGTTATGTCAATCCAGGTGACAAATTGAAGAATGCCGATGCGACCGCCGCGAACCTCCAGGATCAACTCGCCGCAGCTCAAACTCAGCAGCAACAGCTGGTCCTGGAGCGCGATCGTGGCTTATCGGAGCGGGATTTGGCACGTCGACGACTGGTGCAGCGGGGCTGCCGTAGCTTTAGCGTCAGAGGAAGACGTTCGACTCAAAGAGTCACTAATACTAAGTTCCTTATCCAAAGGACACTTACAGCCCAAGACCAGGGCTCAAAGTTAACACCTTAACTTTTATGCTTCAAAACCAGAAGTGTTTTATTTACTATTATTGCGGCCAAGCCGCCTAGGGGTAAATGTATCTCTTTAACTATCTAGCATAGTTAAACCTAATCGAATGCATAACGTGTGGCTTTCAGCCAACGTACTGAGAGACCTTGTTAACTCTCCAACTTATGTACTGAGAGTTTGTTAATTCTCCGGGTACTTCGTACCCCTGTGTGTTCCACACCATGTAACCCCGTTACACTCTCCCTCACTAAGATGAGAACATACCGTTCTCGAACTTTCCTCAGCGAGGTCACGTCTTGTCAAGACGACGGAGGTCACTAGACCTCACCTCTGCGTTCTGCAGCTCCACGAGCTCACAAACGCGTTCGCATCCTTGATGCCTGGCACTTCCACTCCGGCCCACGGCCCAACGTCTCCAGCGCGTCGCGCCGCCCCTGCCTCGTCGGTCCCAGACCCCCAACTGCGCTCCGCAACTGCTCCAAGAGCATCTTCGTCTCTTTCGGTGGCACAGTACCACCAAGAGTATCGCCGTCGCCACGGTCAACGCTCCATGAGCCGTCAGCAAGAAGAGAGCAAAGCTCAAAGCTCGTCAGAGCCGCGGGCGCCGCCCAGAGGGAACGATGTTCTGTTCTCGGAACTCGAAGAGGGCGAAGTCGACTAC